GTACATGTGTGTATGTGTGCACGTGTGTATGTGCACGTGTGTGTGTGCACGTGTGTGTGCACACGTGTGTGTGCACGTGTGTGTGTGCACGTGTGTGTATGCACACGTGTGTGTGTGTACGTGTGTGTGTGTACATGTATGTGTGGGTGTGTGTACGTGTGTGTACATGTGTGTGTGCACACGTGTGTGTGTGCGCACACGTGTGTGTGCACGTGTGTGTGTGCACGTGTGTGTGTGCACGTGTGTGTGTACATGTGTGTGTGTACGTGTGTGTGTGCACACGTGTGAGTGTGTGCACACGTGTGTGTGTGCACACGTGTGTGTGTGTGCACGTGTGTGTGCACACGTGTGTGCACGTGTGTGTGTACATGTGTGTGTGTGCACGTGTGTGTGTGTACATGTGTGTGTGTACGTGTGTGTGTGTGCACGTGTGTGTGCGCACGTGTGTGTGTGCGCACGTGTTAGTGTGTGCACGTGTGTGTGCGCACGTGTGCGTGTGCACGTGTGTGTGCGTACGTGTGTGCACACGTGTGTGTGCGTGTGCACGTGTGTGTGTGCACATGCTTGTTGTGCGTGCATAGTGGCGGTGAGCGCGCTGCGCTACGAACCCGGCAAATCGAGTTCGATTCCCGCTCAAGGGTGGCGATTATCTGAACCAGTCCTGGGCCTCCCCTAGGTCGACTCAGCCTCAAACGAGTAACTGGTGCGGTGTGTTAACGTTCCCACTCGGGGGACAAAGGCGGTCGGGCGTGGTGCGGGCCGCTCACCTGTTCGTGTGCCGTGCTGTCCTTCACAGGTGATCGCTAACAGCACTTGCCCCAACGTTCTGTTAAGGATATACGGGTGATCTTTATCTTTGTTGCGTGTTCGTCACACAAATGTGCACACAAAGACCCCCACTTAGCCTTCAACAGAACGTTGGGAAAAGTGCGACCAATATTACGTGGACCCCCCCGCCCGCGTCCGCCCCCCCCCCCTCGCCTTCGTCCCCGTGCTCGTTCCTGGACGAGCGGAGTGGCGCAGCTCAAGGATGGAACTCGCCCCAGAGGACCACCTCAGCGGCACTCGAGGGCGGCTTGGCGGGTGGTCGCATCGCAAGACGGGGGGGGAGTGGGGGGGGACCCACAGCCTCAGCGCCCGCGTGGAGTTCCACACCGAGAGTGTGGGAGCCCCCATCTCCACCCACAAATATTAGGTGGACCCCCCCCCCCCCGCCCATTAGTGATCCCAGCCCCCCACCAATCAGCCCGGTTACTGGGGAAGCGGGGACTGGAGTGGCCGCTGGCTCCGAGGTTCTCGGGTTGAGCTGCGGCGTTCTGGGCGGGCAGGACGCGTCTCTCAACGCGGATCAGGGCTCCCCGACGGAGCGCAGACACAACGACGACGACGACGCCCTCACACCCCACCACTGCCGCTATCATTCACACATCTCATCACCACACCAATACCACGGACATTCGCCACTAAGTGACGGTGACGTCACCGCGGCGTCTGTGCCAGGCCAGGTGCACTTTGAGGCCACGTGAAGTGTCGAAGGCTCGCTGCTGACAGGAGGAGGCCTCGGGACAGATCCAGCAGGTGCCATGGGTCGGCTGACTGAGATGACCCGTAGATGCACCAGCTGTACCCCCTGCTGTGCCAACTTGCTGCATTTTAGTCGCCCAGAAGCTCCGCTCGTTGTTGTGAGCGTCGCTCCTCCGCCCTCCGTTGTTGTTGGAGGGCGACTGCCTCCAACTGCCCAGTAGCGTCCTTCACGAGCCTCCTCCACAGAGGCCGATCTTGACAACACAACCACCACAACCACTACCGCTATCATTCACAATACTCATCACCACCACAACCTCCACTACAACCACTATCGTCACGACCACAACAACCACCACGATCATTCACAACACTCATCACCATAACCACCACCACTATCGTTATCATTCACACTACTCATCACCACAACCGCTATCATTCACAATATTAATCACTACGACAACAATATCCACCACGACTACCACCAGTCCCATTCATAACAACAACCACCGCCACCACTGTTGTCCTTTCACCCCGCCACAAAGACCACCACCACTACCGCCAACAATATCACCACCACCACTTCTAACACAATTTCTATCACAATCACTACCATCAGCACTACCACCACATCACAAAGACCACCACTTCCACAAAAGACATCATCACCGCCGCGACTGGGAAGTGAACATAATGGGTCGTCATCCACCACCACCACCATGATCACCACCAGATCACAACCACCACCACCACAAAAACACCATCACGGCCGAGACGGCGATGCGAGGCGCACGCGAGGGATGAGCGAATGAAGGAGGTCACACGCGGCGAGGCTGTAGGAAGTGTGGCGGGGTGTATTTTATACTCGTTTTATAAAACACACAGAAAGCCGGGGTACAGCCCCCCCCCAACCCTCGCCCCCCGTCTTGACTACAATTCGCGAGTGGCGCCTTCGTTTCACGCAAGGGTTCCGCGAACATTCAACACTCTCACTCACACTCTCACTCACACTCTCACCCACGGAGCGACGACAGAGAGCGACAAACTGAGAAGATAACGAGACACGTGTTTGTGTGCGCGCACGTGTGTGTCTGTTGGCACCACGCGTATGTGGGTCTGTGTGCACGTGTGTGTGTGTAGTGGGGAGCGGTAGTGTAGCGGTTAGCGCGCTGCGTTGCGAATCTGGCCACCCGAGTTCGATTCCCGCTCACGGCCAACACCAGTGACGATGATCTAAACCGGTCCTGGGCTTCCCTTAGGTCGACTCAGCCTCAAATGAGTACCTGGTGCGGTGTGTAAACATCGCCACTGGGGAGACAAATGCGGCTGGGCGTGGTGCTGGCCACCCATCCCCTCGTGTGCCGTGCCGGCCTTCATAAGTGCTCGCGAATAGCGCTTGCCCCAACAGTCTGTTACAGGCTATACGGGAGATCTTTCTCTTTGTTTATATGTCTGTGTGCACGTGTGTGTGAGTCTGTGTACACGTGTGCGTGTGAGTCTGTGTACACGTGTGTGTCTGTGTCTTCAACCGGCATAAATAAATAATAAGGAGGTTCTAAATCTGTTCACAACAGACCCATGAAATGTTTGTTTTGTTGCAGGAGTAACATCTGAACAACAAAAATACTTTTAAAAAACAATGTTATGCTGTTCCTATCAAGTCTTTTGCTTGTTGTTTGTTGTTGTTTGCTGTGGGTAAACAAATGAGGCGGGAGCTACTGTATCGCCGTGTGGCTCACCGCAAGAGAGGACGTCACCTCACGTGACCTTTTGGCAACGGGGAGTAAGAAGGGTCGAGTCTTCGAAACGTTGACAAACGACGGTGAAGTGTTCGTAAATGAAACAACAACAAACAACAACAATAACAACCCATAATAATTCTTGTTATTATAACGATATCAACATAATGTGAAAACGTAATGCGCTTCAAACAACATGGCTTTCCTGGATTTCATTTCATGCCGAACGGACAGAAAGGACAGACGGGACACACAAACACAGAATTGAGATTTTTTTGTTTGTTTGTTAAAAGTCCACGATATTCTCTCCACGCTAAGCCTGGCCTATTTACATTGTCGTCGGACGACCCCCAAAACATCTTTTATTCTCAAGAAAAATGACGAGAGGTCACTGTAGTAGCCTCCCGGCAAAAAATTCAGAAATGTCTAGTTAGTCTATTTTCTCTCTCTCTCTCCCCGTCTTCCTCCATCTCTCGATCATCGTCGTCATCGTTATAATCTCATCTTATTATCCTGCCAAATGAAAATGTAAAAAATAGACAGTGGCAGTCTTCATTTAGGCCCAGAGACGGGGAGTCGGGATGCACAAAGCAGGCGATAGACCATCAAACCCCGAGCGCAATAACAACCATCACACCACCATCACACCACCATCACACCACCATCACAGTGATGTCGACGTCAGACCAAGCAGCCGGTGGTATGACCAGCGCGCGCAACTCGCCACCTGCACGTCAGCGCGCAGTTCATATCCGGTCCTGGGTTCAACTCAGACCCATGATGATCCTCAACATCGTCAACGTCATCCTGATTATAATCATCGTCGGCGGTTATATTTGCAACATCACCTTGCGGGTAGTCACGTGGTTGTCCAATGAGACTTACCCCCCCACCCCCAAACTCACACCCTCGACCCCTAAACCTCCACACTCTTCATCACAGAAATGTGGAATTTGCACCACTTGCTTCGAACTGCCAGCTGAGGTGAGATGCGCCCACCGCTGGCCTGACAGCAAGGAGACGCTTGCAACGATCAATGTGAATAATGGTGATAGTGGTTCTTGTCGTTACGGTAGTAGTAATTATACTACAGGATTCCTCCCCCCTCCCCCACCCCCTCCATGGTGAGCGCAGGTAGGAGTGGTGAGCGTCGGTGGGAGAGCGTGAAACAGCATCCACCCTCGCCACCCTCACCAGACCGCACACACACGCACCAACGGCGCTCCTGCTGCGACACAAAACCAGCGGAAAACGAACTCAGAGTGGCAGTGGGGGGAGACCGTGGAAGGGGCTGGCTGCGAGAACGCAGGGGGTCACTCGCGGCCAGACACTGGCTCTATCCCTGAGCCTAGCCACACGAGCCATCCAGACACCAGCCCTGCCCTAACTAGCCACCATGCCGCAAGCTCTAGCCCCTAAACCTCTCAAACTAAGCCCGACCGTAGCCCCACCATGACCATAACTGAACGCAAGACTAGCCCCGTCCCGAACACATTGGCCAACCAGACCCCAGCCCCTAAATCCCTGTGGACACCAGCCAAGCAGACACAAGCCTCCTGGCGTGGCCAAGCAGCCCTACCCTAACACCCAGCATAACTCGAGCACTCGCTCTGCAATCGCTCACGGACCAGCCAATCGGACACGAGCTCAGCCCCCTACCGCTAACCCACACAAGCCGGCCAGATGCTAACCCCCCCACTCTTGCAATAGATTACACGACTCGCCCTGGAACAATGCAGCCAGACAACTGCCCCCCCCCAACCCTAAGCACACTCGACAACCAGACATGAGCCCTACCCCACACCAACCAACCAACGAAAGTACAGCACTCGCCTTACCCCTAAACCTTACTATCAAGCCATCCTCTACCACGAGCCTGACCCCTAAACCTTACTATCAAGCCATCCTCTACCACGAGCCTTACCCCTAAACCTTACTATCAAGCCATCCTCTACCACGAGTCTTACCCCTAAACCTTACTATCAAGCCATCCTCTACCACGAGCATTACCCCTAAACCTTACTATCAAGCCATCCTCTACCACGAGTCTTACCCCTAAACCTTACTATCTAGCCAGCCTCTATCACGAGTCTTACCCCTAAACCTTACTATCTAGCCATCCTATATCACGAGTCTTACCCCTAAACCTTAGTATCTAGCCATCCACTACCACGAGTCTTACCCCTAAACCTTACTATCTAGCCATCCTCTACCACGAGCCTTACCCCTAAACCTTACTATCAAGCCATCCTCTACCACGAGTCTTACCCCTAAACCTTACTATCTAGCCATCCTCTATCACGAGTCTTACCCCTAAACCTTACTATCTAGCCAGCCTCTATCACGAGCCTTACCCCTAAACCTTACTATCTAGCCAGCCACTATCACGAGTCTTACCCCTAAACCTTACTATCTAGACATCCACTATCACGAGTCTTACCCCTAAACCTTACTATCTAGCCATCCACTATCACTCGCCTTACCCCTAAACCCTACTATCTAGCCAGCCACTATCACGAGTCTTACCCCTAAACCTTACTATCTAGCCAGCCACTATCACGAGTCTTACCCCTAAACCTTACTATCTAGCCATCCTCTATCACGAGTCTTACCCCTAAACCTTATTATCTAGCCATCCTCTATCACGAGTCTTACCCCTAAACCTTACTATCTAGCCAGCCACTATCACTCGCCTTAACCCTAAACCTTACTATCTAGCCATCCTCTATCACGAGTCTTACCCCTAAACCTTACTATCTAGCCATCCACTATCACGAGTCTTACCCCTAAACCTTACCATCTAGCCATGCACTATCACGAGTCTTACCCCTAAACCTTACTATCTAGCCATCCTCTATCACGAGTCTTACCCCTAAACCTTACTATCTAGCCATTCACTATCACGAGCCTTACCCCTAAACCTTACTATCTAGCCATCCACTATCACGAGCCTTACCCCTATACCTTACTATCTAGCCATTCACTATCACGAGCCTTACCCCTAAACCTTACTATCTAGCCATCCACTATCACTAATCTTACCCCTAAACCTTACTATCTAACCATTCACTATCACGAGCCTTACCCCTAAACCTTACTATCTAGCCATGCACTATCACGAGTCTTACCCCTAAACCTTACTATCTAGCCATCCTCTATCACGAGTCTTACCCCTAAACCTTACTATCTAGCCAGCCTCTATCACGAGCCTTACCCCTAAACCTTACTATCTAGCCAGCCACTATCACGAGTCTTACCCCTAAACCTTACTATCTAGACATCCACTATCACGAGTCTTACCCCTAAACCTTACTATCTAGCCATCCACTATCACTCGCCTTACCCCTAAACCCTACTATCTAGCCATCCACTATCACGAGTCTTAGCCCCTAAACCTTACTATCTAGCCAGCCACTATCACGAGTCTTAACCCTAAACCTTACTATCTAGCCATGCACTTTCGCGAGTCTTACCACTAAACCTTACTATCTAGCCAGCCTCTACCAGGAGTCTTACCCCTAAACCTTACTATCTAGCCATCCTCTATCACGAGTCTTACCCCTAAACCTTATTATCTAGCCATCCTCTATCACGAGTCTTACCCCTAAACCTTACTATCTAGCCAGCCATTATCACTCGCCTTACCCCTAAACCTTACTATCTAGCCATCCTCTATCACGAGTCTTACCCCTAAACCTTACTATCTAGCCATCCACTATCACGAGTCTTACCCCTAAACCTTACCATCTAGCCATGCACTATCACGAGTCTTACCCCTACCTAACTATCTAGCCATGCACTATCACGAGTCTTACCCCTAAACCTGACTATCTAGCCAACCTCTATCACGAGTCTTACCCCTAAACCTTACTATCTAGCCATGCACTATCACGAGTCTTACCCCTAAACCTTACTATCTAGCCATCCACTATCACGAGCCTTACCCCTAAACCTTACTATCTAGCCATCCTCTATCACGAGTCTTACCCCTAAACCTTACTATCTAGCCATTCACTATCACGATACCTTACCCCTAAACCTTACTATCTAGCCATCCACTATCACGAGCCTTACCCCTAAACCTTACTATCTAGCCATTCACTATCACGAGCCTTACCCCTAAACCTTACTATCTAGCCATCCACTATCACTAATCTTACCCCTAAACCTTACTATCTAACCATTCACTATCACGAGCCTTACCCCTAAACCTTACTATCTAGCCATGCACTATCACGAGTCTTACCCCTAAACCTTACTATCTAGCCATCTACTATCACGAGCCTTACCCCTAATCCCGAGGCCCCCCCCCCCCAACTAACCCTAACCTATTTGCTGAACAGCCCCGACCACCAGCCCTAGCCCGGACTCTAACCCCAACGTCTCGCCCCCAACCCCCCCCCCCCCCACTCTGGCGCCTCGCCCCGACCACTGCCGCCACTTTCTCGCTCGCGTGTCGCGGTTTGGTCGCTCGCGGCGACCGCACGGGCGGTGTGTGGGGGTGACGGGGACACTCCCTGGGGTGGCACCCAGAACTCGGAGCCATCGTTCCGCCTCGCGCGCGCCAATTGATTGCCATAGTTTCATCGTCCCACGCATTCTTCCTCACAGTCGCAAGTTCATTAAACTCGTCGCCGAGTAAAATAACAAATTGAAGGAGCAGAAGAAAAAATAAGGGAACCAGAACGTGAGAAATACCACTTAGGACGCAGGCGATCACGCGTGCAGAAGGCGGATTGTGCAGTTTCGTCATCTCGCTCAAGCGAAGCAATCCCTTCGACTTGCTGTTGACGATCCCAGTGACTGAGACGCGCACACAGCTCGTTACCTTGCAGCTCCACGGCCCAGAGTGGCCTGGGCGACCCACGCGAGTTGGTTAACGCACGGAAAAAAATACTTCAAAGTTAGAGGCAGTAGCTTCGCCATGGAATCTACAATGACGTCACAATAGGCATCGTCAGATCGCGCGCCCGTCGCCGCGACGCTATCGCTCGGTGGCAAAGGCGCAGCTCTGCAATTGCCGGCGCACGCCGCCGCTGGCGGAAGGGGTCTCCACTGGAGGCCTCTGTCGCGCGAGGGTATTTTTGGCCGATTCTTGCTCGCTGGCTGTACAACTCGGAAGGGGTGGCGGTAGCCACCACGTGACCTCCACAGCACGCGACCCCGTCGATCGATCGTCGACTAACTGTGATGATGTCTCCGGCGAGCAAATAACCGCGCTTCTGACAGTAACTTTAAAGTATTTATCTTCTTTGTTGAACGTTTCAAACTCGTGCTGGACAACCTGGGACACACAATAGTGTGCAGGAGGAGTGGAGCGGTAGCTACGCGACCTTTAAAGACCGTTCAACCCCTGAGCGAGGAGTTGCGCAACCTGGTCGCATGCAACTTGGTCGCATGCGACTGAATCGCCCGTCCGTGGACGTCTGTGCAACCGGTTGGGCAAGTTTCGAACAAGACCGCAACAAACAAACAAAAAACTTGTAAAAGAGCAGACACAGATATGTGTGCATTATGGAGAGAAAAAAAACAGCAGAACTGCACTGTAGCCCTCTTGTATTCGGTGACCATCAACATCAATTTGAGCAAATGCGACCGTCTGACAGCAGCAGCAGCAGCAGCGAGGCAGCGATTCACGACTGCGAACCGGTTTCGTCTAACTTGGGATTCACCAGCACAGTACGTGGTCACCCACGCTGAGTCGCGCAACCGGTTGCCTGTAGTCGAGAAGTTTACTCTCACGGTGAGACCGAGCACGTCGTGATGCTGCTGTTGCTGCTGCTGCTACGCTGGCAGTGGCGCGAAAGCGCAGTCAAGAAAACAAACTCAACACATTCCGTGTCAATAATACTTCCTTCAAACAGAAAGATACAGGTGACGTTTCTCGGCAATGGCCCTTCCTCGTAGCACGTCAGGAAGAAGGGCCATGTCCCGAAACGTTGCCAATTACATCATCTACTCTCAAGAGATTGGCTCGGTGATTTTGGTCGGTTACGCAGCTAATCGCTCAGATGTGGACCCAGCTGAAGAACCGCCGCTGTCCAGGGTCGTAAGTCGGATGACACATCTCATTGTTGCACACACGTGCTCTCTCAAATGTCCAATGTACGCCGGGAGCTCGTTCATCGTGCCCATAAAGATACAAGCGAGACGTTCTAAACAAAATAAGTCAAAGCAAGCGACGTGAAATATAAAAAAAATATATAATAAAAAAGTCCAGAGGTTAAAGTTCACCGCAGGTTTTTTTCGACTCAGGGTCACGCGCTATGAAATCTGCGGCAGCCGCTCGCGACTCCGGGGTCAGAGTTCGGAACTTCCGCGGATTTTTATTCTTCTCCTTTTCCTCTACTCACGTGTTCACGTGTTCAGTTTAAAAACCGTTTAAAGTGTCCTCTTGGCTATAGAAGTGCTTTCCGTTTTATGTATCATCATCCCTCTCTCTGCATCGTAAAGTCCACTCGCCACGCGAGCATCTGTACATCGGTGTGTGTGTACACCTGTATGTATACACGTGTGTGTACACAGGTGTGTGTGTAGACGTGTGTGTGTACACGTGTGTGTGTGTGTACACCTGTATGTATACACATGTGTGTGTACACAGGTGTGTGTACACAGGTGTGTGTGTGTACACCTGTATGTATACACGTTTGTGTGTGTACACAGGTGTGTGTGTACACAGGTGTGTGTACACTTGTATGTATACACGTGTGTGTGTACACAGGTGTGTGTGTGTAGACGTGTGTGTATACGTGTGTGTACACCTGTATGTATACACGTGTGTGTAGACGTGGGTGTGTGTACACGTATGTGTGTGTAGACTTGTGTGTGTATATATCTGTGCACGTGGGACCCGCGCGCGTACCTGTACCTGCGGTACTTATCTACCTGTACGGCGCGGGGTGGGGGAGTGTAGGGGTATGAGTGAGTCTTGGTGGCGGTGGAAGTGGGATTAGGGCAGGGGGTCAGCAACTAAAATCACAAGAAGAGAATTTTTTTTCGAATTCGTTACAAAACTCAATATTTCAAGAGCCGCAATGCATGTGAATACGCACATACAGAACGTGTCGGAGCAGTCCGTAAAGAGCCGCATGCGACTCCGGAACCGCAAGTTGCCGACCCCTGGGTTAGGGCAAGAGGAGGCGGAGGAGGAGGGGTGAGAAAGGAAGAGGCGGCGTTCCTCCATCTCCGAATATAGAAACATTTCATGATGTTGAGAAATCGATGTCGCCTCTATGCGACCATCCCCCCCCCTTCCTGCTCGCCCGAGGCGGCGTGACGCGTGCACGATCTACGCCTCGGGGTTTCTTTTTGTGTCGAGAACCAAAAACTGAGTGTCGGGGTTCGCGGCGAGACCGCGCGCCCCATGCTTAGTGTCCATACGACAGCCAGGTGAGGTGGGGGGGTCCACGTGGCTTTAGCACACGGGGAGTTGGGATGGGGTGGGGGGTTAATTGGGGGGAGGGGCTGGGGGAGTGGCAGGGGAGGGGGGCTGGACATAATTGGGCTACGCCTGACACAAAGATACACCACGTGACCGACTCTTAATTAAAGCACTTATTAAGTAACGTGTCGTCACGCTTACGGATTGGTTAATTAAACGATGATCGACCCCCCCCCCCCCGCCGCCCCCTCCCCCCCAAATCCCCCATTTATATCAACACCCCCCCCCCTTCACGACACTTGCTTGGGATAATCACGTGGTAGTCCCTCCCCCCCCTCGATTTGAGTTCTTGATGAGTCACATGATCAAGGCACTGAGGCGCATCATCATTATCATCATCATCATTATCGGCTATCACCATCATCGTCTAGCATCATCAGCATCGCCAGCAGCTCCGCGCGCCTTTAACCCCGCGCGGTCTGCATCGGGAGCTCGGTGGCGGTGTTGGAGTGGTTGGGGGGGCAGGGCTGGAATGCTTGCGGTGGTGAGCAGGCAGGTGAGTGGCGAGGAGGCTGAGGAGGCAGGGATGGGGAGAGGAGGGAGCGATCATGGGGAGAGATAGGGATGGGAGGCGGGAGCGTGGTGGTTGGTGGTGGTAAGGTAAGCAACGGTGAGGGTGACGAAGGGGTTGAGTGGTGACGAGGGGGTGCAGTACGTGGGAGCGTTGTAGTTGGATCAAGACGGTGTGGTCAGGATAAGGCTGGTAGTGGTGAGGGTGAGGAGGGCAAGTGGTTAGAGGTGGTGAGGAGGAGGAGGAGGAGGAGGGAGGCAGACTGATTAATGATTCTCCAATGCGCGGTGCGTGCGGGGCATCCTAATGCCTGCCCGGGGCTCTAAGCGACTCTCAGCGCTTACAGCCGGGACGGGGGGGGGACAAGGGGTGAGCGCCGCGGGGGGGAGGGGGGCAAGGAATTGAGGGGGGGCTAGGAGGGAATTCATTAACTGGACGGGGGAGGGGGTACACAGGCACAAACTCATATTCATCTCCGCTCAGTAACGAGTAAAAAGAACCCTGGTTCTCGCAAAATAAATACATCCGCTATTGCACCAGAGAGAGAAAGGGGGGGGGGCGGTATGGAAGTTGGTGGGGGGGGGCTTAGGGGGGGGTGCAATTTGCGCATCCCGTCTGGTCACGTGGCCAGTTCGGGGTGGGAGGGGGGGGTTAAGTGCCGACAAGTTCGATAATAAAACCAATAATACAAAACTTCGACTTAGCCCACGACACACGACTCTAGTTACGTCTGTTATAAGATTATTATTTTTTTGCTTGATTATTCTTTTAAAGGCGGGTCATTTTTAATATATACGGCATATAGATAGCGTGAGTGTGTGATTCATTGTTGCAACGGCTCGCTTAGCAAGGACCCACGGCTTCTTCAAAAGAGTGCACGAGTGAAATGGGAGCCGCCGTCACCATCATGATCATCATCACGATCATTATCATCATCCTGATCATCACGATCATGACCATCATCACGATCATTATCATCATCACGATCATGATCACGTTCATCATGATCATCATCATCAGACTACGTGACGCTCCTTATTGCTTGAATCGGGATCGGCGTGATGGCTGATTTCGTGGACCACTGAGCGAGCAATCGAAGGCAGCGCGGCCTTCGATCATTCGTCCCCCGCCCGTTCGGGCTCCACTCGTAGAGCGCGTGCACCGCGCGGACTCCCACTCCTCAGTTAGACTCATAGAGTGACGAGGTGTGTGTGTGTATTTGTGTGTCAGTGAGTGTCTGTGTGTGTGCGGGTCAGTGTGGGGAGCGGCGGCGTTGCGGTTAGTGCGCCGTGCTACGAATCTCGCTTACGGCCAGCATCGGTAACAAATATCTGGACCGGTCCTGGGCCTCCCCTAGGTCGACTCAGCCTCAAATGAGTACCTGGTGCAGTGTGTAAACATCGCCACGAGGGATACAAAGGCGCCCGGGCGTGGCGTTGGCCACTCACCCCGTCGTGTGCCGTACCAGCGTTCATAGGTGCTCGCTAACAGCACTTGCCCCAACAGTCTGTTAAGGCTATATGGGGGATATTTGTCTTTGTGTGTGTCAGTGTCGTTCGTGCGTGAGCTCCTCTCGGAAGTCATCACGAACCCGACCCGGCCTCGTGATTTCCGAGGCTCCATTCCGCACGACCTCCACCACGATCCGGCTTTCCATGTTTTCCAGAGTTCTCCTTTCAACTGCACATTAAGTCGGCACACGCCGCACGCGCCTCATGAGTGCTAAACACGTCAATCAAAACGCGGAGCGCTCTTCTTAAACCTCAATTTAAAATCAGGGCCGTCAGCGTCACGCGGGGAACAAAGACAAAGATCCCCCGTATAGCGTTAACGGACTGTTGGGGCAAGTGCTGTGAGCGAGCACCAACGGAGGTCGGCACACCACACGAAGGGGGTGGGTAGCCAACATCACGCCCGGCCGCCTTTGTTTCTCCAGTGCTGATGTTTTACGCACATCGCACCAGATCTAGTCGGGAGCGGAAATCGAACTCGGTTTGCCGTGATCGTAGCGCAGCAGGGCTAACCACTTTCCCACCGCTCCCCACGCGGGGAACACAAGCGCACACACACAAATGTCGGTCTCCATTGCAATCAGCGCTCTCTCCGTCAAGTGGAGACGTGTTCACCAATCATCAGGCGTGTGTAGTTTGATGACGACCAATCGGCATTCAGATAATTTGGTGCACGCGCAAGAAGCACATTGACCATGGTGGAGGTGGGGTGGGCGGGGCTCAAGATAGCATGAAGTCGGGCAACCCCAATGCAACCCGAGCCACACCCCTCCTCCCTGCCCCACTTACTCGGCTGGCTCCAACTTAATTTCGGCCGCCCCAGCGCTCGCGCTGTTGCTGTTTCCAACATTGTTGCTGCTGCCGCTACCGCTGTTGCTGCTACTGTTGTTGCTGCTGCTGCTGCCACTGCCGCTGTTGTTGTTGACAGTGGCGGTGGCGGCGGCGGCCGACACGACGACGGCAACGGCGGGGGCGGCGGCGGCCACGACGCCGTCCTGCTTGGCCGCCCGGTGCCACTTCTTCACGTGCTTAATGAGCGTGGCGTGGACGTTGAAGGCCATCTGGCACACGTCGCAGCGGAACGCTTCTCCTCCTCCACCACCTCCTCCTCCAGCCGCCACTCCTCCTGCCGCCGCCGCCACCGGCACCACCGTTCCGCCGCTGCCCTTGAGGTGCGTCTTCATGTGGCGCGTCAGCTTGCTGCTCTGCGCACACGCGTAGCTGCACAGCTCGCATTTGTAGGGCCGCTCGCCCGTGTGCGACCGCCGGTGGACCGTGAGGTTGCTGCCGTTCTTGAACGACTTCCCGCAGAACTCGCAGCGGTTGCTGCCGGCGCCGCTGCCGCCGCCCGCGCTCCCAGAGCGCCCGTTGCTCGAGCTGGCGGGACTGCCCGCGCTGGGCTCGGAGCTCGTGTCTTCGCCAGATTCGCGCTGCTGCTGCTGCTGATGGTGCTGCTGGTGGTGGTGGTGGTGGACGTGCGGCTGCAGAGGGGGCGAGGCTGTCGACAGCTGGAGGCTGCCGTTGTCGGACGAGGCAGAGGAGCAGGCGAAAGGAGAGCGGCGCGACTGCGAGTCGCCGACGATCCCCGACGCCACCGCGGAGCCCGGCACGGAACCGAGCCCCAGGGACGCGAACCCCTCCTTCTTGAGCTGCTGGCGGGAGGACGCGTAGCTGGCCAGCCACTGCGAATACACGTTCTCTGTGGGCAGCGCGGACAGCGGGGCCAGCGACGAGGCCGGCGGAGCGAGGGGGCTGCCCCCGACGTCCGCCTCCCGTTCCAGCTTGATGCGCTTGCCGGGCATGATGGGGCTGCCCCCGGAGGCGCGGCCCCCCTGCAGGGCCGAGGGGCTGCCCCCGCGGCCGTTCACGGCGTCCTCGCCGCACCCCCCCGCCGCGTCGCCCCCCTCGAAGCCGACGGCGGTGCCTGTGGCGGCGGCCGCGGCGGCGGCGGCCGTCCCCTTCCTGCGGGGGCCGAAGGCGTCGTGCAGGTGGCCTCGCAGCAGCAGCGCATCGAGGCCCAGGCGGTCGGAAGCGCCGCACACGAGGGCGTCCAGGGAGAATGCGGCGGTGCCCTTGGCATCGAAGGGCAGCCTGCCCACCGCCGTCGTGCCACCACCGCCGCCGTTACCACCCACGCCGCCCATGCCGCCGCTGCCCTTGGCGAGCGTTTCCGACTGGGCGACGCGGCCATCGGCCTTCCTGAGCGCGGGCAGCAGTAGCTGCTGCTGCCCCGCGGCCGGGCCTCCGGGCAGCAGCGCGAGCTTGGAGTCAGAGGAGCAGGAGGTGGAGAGCGTCCGGCGCAGCAGCGCCTCGCTGAACGGCCGGCTGTTGCTCAGGCTCATGATGGCCGCGCTGGCAGACATGGCGTGGGAGAGCGCGCTGTGGGTGGCGCGGCCGCGCTCCGCAGCCTCGTCGTCGCCCACCTCCTCCTCGTCGCCCTCCTCCTCCTCGTCCTCATCTTCATCCTCGGCCTCGGCTTCGACCCCGTCTGGGTGGAGGCGCCGCACACGCACGGGAGAGGGGAGGGGGACGGTGACGGCATGATCGTCATCATCGTCATCATCGTCGTCGTTATCAGCAGCAGCTGTAGCAGCAGTACCATCATTATGATGAGTAGAAATAGGAGCATCAGCAACAAACACAGTAGCAATGGTAGAGGAAATAGCATCATCATCGAGTAACAATTTCTACTCATGATGTGACCACACCTCAACAATGGGACTACACCCCAGCGATGTAATTCTTAACGCGAACGTGCGCGCAACTTCCACTAAGCGTTCCATCCTCACCCTCCACGTCATCTTCATCCGACTCCTCCAAATCCGCGTCTCCCTCCCCTTCTTCCTCCTCCTCCTCTTCCTCCTCCTCCACCTCGTCTTCCTCCTCCTCCCCCCCCACCGCCTCGCCGCCCCCGTTCCCGGCCACGGCCGCCGCCGCCGTCGACGCCGTCGTCGTCGCTGTGCCCGTCGGGCCCGGCGAGGCCGAGGCCACCACGGCTGCGGCCGCCCGTGCCGAGAAGTCGTTGCAGTACTGGGCGACCACGGAGCGCAGCACGGAACTCGCGCTGCCCGGTGGCGCGGGGCCCCCCCTTCTCCGCTCGCCGCCGCCAGGGTCCGGTTCCGGGGAGCTGCCCTCGGCGGAATGGCCGTCCTCAACCTTGACCCGGGCCAGAGGGTCCGGGGTGATGGACGGGGAAGATGACGACGATGCCGGTTGTTGTTGTTGTTGCTTGCTGTCGTGTCGCCGCCGGTGCTGGTTGTGGTGGTGGTGGAGGAGGAGGTTCGGGTGGTGGTGGTGCTGGTGGTGGTGGTGCGTGCGCATGTGGCGTTTGAGTTTGCTGGCCTGTGGGGGGGCATGGGGGGGAGGAGGAATGTGTTGGGGGGGGGGGGGTGTAAGGGGAATTTTGGGGAAGAAATGACATGACGGGAGAGAAGAGGTGAGGATATTGCAGGAGGTAGAAGGAGAGAGGAGTAGAAGATGCCGGGAGATAAGATCACAAGAGATGAATGAGGAGGTGAAATAGGCAGAGAGGAAGGGAGATGGAAGGATAGAAGAGCAGAGATTGGGTGGCAGGAGATGAGACGCAATGAGATGTGGTGAGACGTGAGAGTGGAAGAGATGACAGGAGGCGAGAGAATATGAAACGGGTAATGAGATCAGAGACGACCAAAGGGAGGTGTCGGGGTATGAGGTCACAAGATGGCGGAAGCGCAGAGGGCAAGAAGGAGGCAATATATATCATCGATTAGTACTACAGTCACAGTCACGTGAGATTAGCTTTCGCGATATCAGCGACTCAGAGATAAAATAATCATCTTCCTTCACTAGGAGAGGCCTCTTACAGTCTCCACACTCCTCACCATGGGCCAGGGTGAGGGATAAACCCCACGGCTCGTCTTATCTATGGCCAGGACTCTGGTATAGGAACCTTATAAGGTCATGGGTAAGGTTAGGCAATGCCTAGGAATGTGTTTATGGTTTGGGCCCCACAGGACTCAATGTAGGGTTTAGGGGGTACAGAAACATATTATTTGGGTCTTTCGGTAAAGCCACGTAGATAGAAAAAAATATCACGACGTTTCGATCGCAACAGGTGACGATTGCTTGTGTTGCGATCGAAATGTCGTGATATTTTTTCTATCTACGTGGCTTTACCGAAAGACCCAAAGAATATGAATTCCTGCAGTCACGAAAGCTTTAAGTCGGTACAGAAACAGTTTTAGGGTTTAGAGCCTAGATGATTAGCATGGCAATTTAGGATCCACAGGACTAGCTCTATGGTTTAGAACCTAGGATTTAGGCTGTTTACGTTTGATCTTGGAGTTTAGGACCTAGGCTTTAGGCTCTATAGGTCTGGGGTTGGGGTTTAAGCTCCATGGGGCTTGGGGTTTCGAACCTAGAGTTTAGGCTCTATAGATAAGGGCTTGGGGTTTAGGGCCTAGGGTTTAGGCTTGTTAGGGCTGGGCTTGGGGTTTAGGCTCGACAGGGCTTGGGTTGGCGATTCACGAGCTAGGCCCGAGACTGCCCTGGCGCCGCACCTGGGAGCAGGCGTGCTGGCACACGCGGCAGCGGTACGGCCGCTCCCCGGTGTGGCTGCGCCGGTGAACCACGAGGTTACTCTGAAACTACACATTGAACGCCGGTTAGCGAGCGCCTATTGCCCCGCGCGCCATAGCCGTCGGGCGCAAGCCACACCACCGAGGCGATGGCGGGGCCAGCACCACCGCACGCCCGCGCCGCCGCTTTTTGTCTCTCCTCCGCCGAAGCCAGAAACTGACGGTGACCCACAAACCGCCACACACCGGAGTACACGGGCTGAAGTGCACCGGAGTACATGGGCTCAAGTGCAGCCGGGGTTTCCTTGTTTTCTAGTCTGAGTCTATCTAGGAGAGACCCAAACCAGCCTGAAAACATTACGTTTTGTCACAACACGTCATTCGACTAATGAAGTACCTGCCCTAATTAGATATTGCCCATCATTCTTGTAAGGTCGATAAACAGCAAAAACGCTTTTGTGGGTTCTCGTCAAATAGAACCACTCATGCCTTCCATAGGAATGTGGAATTTCGAACACTTGTTCGAGGCAAATGAGAGCCGCCCATTGCCTCGAGCGATCAGGGAAACTCCTGGACTTGGTTAAAAGGTAAAGGTGCAACCCTGCAAGTGTTGTCTCACCCCACCGGGAGTACTCATACTTTACCCCACCACATGCAACCTTCCACCCATAGACTCTGGGTTTACCCACATATCCTGCTGGGTGGACTCGAGGCGCTATCTGCACATCAGCGCTTCATAATAATAATGCGCATTTGCATGGACGATATTTGCATAAACCTCATTTGAATAAAACTCACGACTGAGACTAATTATTTCACTCCCACTGGATTTAATCGTCGTCATTAAAGGAAGAATCTCACGCGTGTTGCCGTGGGTTTAAGGGGTTGCGTAGGGTGAACTCTCAATGCAGAAGTCCCCGGTTCAATCTCCCGTCGTGGCAGCTGAGACAATAGTGCAAGTTTATAAAATTCTGTTGTTGTTAACTGTTGTCATTGTTTTGTTGTTTGTCTTGTTATTATTGCTGTTGTTCACTTTGTCTATCGTTGAGGTTGCATGTAGGTTGTGTTTGCCGTTGACGTTACGTTTCGTCGTGATTGTTGCATTGCTATTTCAGCGGAGTTGGCCAAACATCTCAGTGTAGGACCACGAAGCTTGGGCAACTGCCGGCGCGCCACTTCTGGCCGCCTTCCCGCGCGTCTCCATGATTCGCGTGAACGATGCTCAAGATCTAAAATCAACAAGTGCGATGTCACGTAATGCGTGCTGTTTGTGGGCCAGGGCACGTGGGTAGCCCTTGGGGCCAAATTTCCCCTCGTTAACCCCTCCACCACCCGACAAGATTTCCACGTTCACAAAGATATCCTTTATACGCGCCAATGATAATAAAAAAATTCAACACATTTATCAGGAAATGAAAAACAGGTGACGTTTCAGGCAATGGCCCTTTATCATAGCACATCGATGCAGAGGCAGCAGTTTTATCCACTTTTCCTTTTTGACCTATGTGCTCTGAAAAAGGACCGCTGCCCGAAACGTCGCTTTATTATAGGTCACCTTGAAACTCTTCCCGCAGAACTCGCACGACTTGCGCGCCGCACTCCCGGCCGCCGCGGGCAGGGCGAGCGACGAGGCGAGATCGGGCGGGGTCAGCGACCCCGTCACGGGGGGCCGGGCCCCATTGCCGCTAGGGGTCTGCAGCGGGGAGAGGGGACCCCCTCCTAAAGATCCCAGTCCGGGGGTCCCTAGGAAGCTCAGGGTCCCCGGCGGAGACTGTAGGAGACGCGGTCTCCCCGGGGAGATTGGCGGAGTGGAGCCGCTGTTGTTGCTGCAACCGCTCAAGTTGTTATTGTTGTTGATTCCGCCGCTGCTGTTGTTGTTATTGTTGTTGCTATTGTTGTGCTGGCTGGTGTTGTTGGCCAGTTCTCGGAGCCGGCGAGAAAAGTCCATGCCAGGCTCCATGGTGATCTGCGCCACCCCGCGCTGCCCTCCGGCCGATGTCCCGCTGCCGCCTCCTGGCCCTGCGGCCCCTCCGAGACACGGGGGCAGCAAGTGATCTTCACTGCCGCGCCCCGAGGGCAGCTGCTGCGGCGGCGGCTGGTGGTGCGTGGCGTGCGGGTTGTGGTGGTGGGCGTGGTGGGGGTGGTGGTGGTGGTGGCCAGGAGTGGTGAAGAGCGGCGGTGTTCCCAAGCGCACCTCACCCAACCCAACGCCGACCCCTGCCAACCGCAGCAAGTTCAGCGGGCTGCCTTCAAAGGGCAGAGCCGCGGCCACCGCCGCCGACGCCGACGAAGCCGAAGCCGTGAGCTGCATCGGAGCCGCCGTCTCCGCCGTGGAGATTCCAAGCCTCGCCGCCGCGGCCGAGGCGACGGCCGGCGGTGCCGCAGACGAGGCGGAGGACGAAGAGGCGCTGCCCCCGCCGACTCCCGCCGCTCCCAACCGGGGGCTGCCCCTGGCGTCGTCGGCCTCGGGGCTGCCCCGACGCTGCGCAGCGCCCGCGGTTGATGTCGTGGTGGCGGCGGCGGCGTTGACGATTCCGCCACCACCCCCACCAGCCGCACCTCCTCCAGCCACGCCGCCACCGCCGCCACCGGTGGCCACTCCACGTTCCAGGTAGATGCCGATGCCATGCGCGCGCTGCGCGTGCTGCATGAGAGGCCACGCGGCACGGAACACGCGGCCGCACGAGACGCAGACGTGGGCGCTCGGCTCGGCCTTGCCTACAGGGAGACAGCCGAACATGTGTGGTGATTGGTTGCTCCATTAGCTAATTAAATAATTGCGTGCGTAATTTAGACATCGTCATCATTATTATCATCGTCATAATAATCGTGTAGCAGCAGCAGTGACCGATTCACAAATACGAAGGAGGAGGCATCATCACAGCGATTCACCACTCCGCTACTCTTGGCGCTAATCATATGGCTCAATGTAAAATCACAGCTGTCGCTCTAAGTCAACATCAGCCGTACTAAGAAGAATATAAAGATCTACAGATCACACTCAGACCCACCGACTCACATACAGAACCCCAAACTCACATAGAGACCCACAGACTCACACTGATATCCACACTCACATAGAGACACATAGACTCGCACAGAGATCCATAGACACACTGAGATCTATGCGAAGGAGCAGACATCATGAGAGCGATGCACCACTGCGCTACTCCAAGGGCAATCATCTGGTTCATCAACTACCTCCAAGCTGTTGATCTTAACATCAGACATGTGGAGAAACATCAGTGCTGGGCACATTAACCGGCTACATCACCCCTCGTGCACCGTGGGGGGCAATTGCCAACAGCACTTTCCCCAATAGCCCGTGTAGGCTACATGGGGATCTTTAACTTTGTGCGCGTGCGGCACGGTCGAGCAAAAATAAACCTCGACCAAGCAACGCGCACTTTGTCCCTGCCACGCTCTTTCCACTCTTCCTTCTCTCTCTTCCACCCTCTCTCTCTCTCCTTCCATATCTCTCTTCCACGCACTCCCTCCCACGCTCTCCCTGCTCTGCCTCAAGCCTAGAGAGCAAATCCCTGCCCCGGTCATTCTGGCCGTCATGATCATCACCATCATCAGCAGCGATATTGCTGCTGATGATGATGGATGACGACAGTGATGATGATGATGGATGACGAGAGTCGCAGACGGATGAAGTTTAAGCCTCCAGCACCCTCCCCCCCCTCAAATGAGGGCCCCCTCCCTCCACGCAAACCAGGGTCCCCCAGGTGGGGTTATGGGGGTCGCGGATAGGGGTCAGATGGTCAGGGTCTCGCGGTAACGGGGTCACGGGTGTGGAATGTCGGGTTAATCTAAAGCCTCGACTGCAGAGGCGAAGGGGAGTAAGCGCCGGGGAGGGTGGGGGACGGGCGGAGCCCTGGTTGAGGGGGGTCAACATCAACTTCCACGAATAGCGCCCCCCCCCCTTTATTCGGGTTCCTAATGTGGCTCAGAGGTCGGAGACGCGGAGACGCGGAGCGGGCACGGCCGTCGAGACCTCCGGAGGGTTTCTCGGTCCGCGTTTTGGGCCCCAACCACAGCGGCGCTGCTGCTGACGACACCGGGGAGCTCACGGTTCAATAGTTTACATTGAGAAGTGCGGCCAATACTGCGCTGCAGGCAAACAATCATTGCCCCAACAGCCTTCAACAGGCTGTTGGGGCAAGTGCTGTTAGCGAGCACCTATAAAGGCCGACACGGCACACGAGGCGGTGGGTGGCTAGCACCACGCCCGACCGCCTTTGTATCCCCAGTGTTGATGTTTACACACCGGTACCAAGTACCCATTTTAAAGGTTGAGCCGACCTAAGGGGAGGCCAAGGACTGCTTTCAATATTTTCCGCTGATATTGGTCGTGAGCAGGAATCGAACACAGCTCGCCGCAACACTGGCGCTCCCCATATCCACAGACACATACAGACACAAAGACAAAGATCCCCCGTATAGCCTCAACAGATTGTAGGGGCAAGTGCTGTTAGCGAGCACCTATAAAGGCCGGCACGGCACACGAGGCGGTGGGTGGCCAGCACCACGCCCGACCGCCTTTGTCTCCCCAGTGGCGAACACCAAACTCACAGCCGCCAACCGTCTTCCCCCTCCCCAATGTTGTCTGTCGTTAGTCTAAATAATCGACAAACCGATGCATCGTTAATCGGTGACTATTTAATCGACGATCGTATGCACCCTTAGGGCTGGCTCTCTTTGAGGATCAGTCATGAACACTGAGCCCCGAGGGGACGTTTGTGATGAACTCGGTGGTAGTAGCCAGGTTGGCATGGGCCCAGGCGCACGGAATTAAATACGCCCCCCCCCCACTTCCTCCAGTGTCCAATTCCTCTCCTCCCCCATGCTGCCACCTCTAAGGGGCCCCGGTACAGTTGCACCGCCTGCACACTCCTTGAAAATATAATAATCTACGCCACTGCTGTCTTAGCCCCCCAGACCCCCCTTTTAGCCTCTACCCCCCCGCTCCCCCCTCCACATACCCCGACCACCCCCGCACCCTGCTGCGTAGGAGGAGGAATGTTGGATGGCATTGGAAGTCTCGGAAGAGTGAAATCATTAGTTTTAAAAGTTGGAGCTGTCAGGAGTTTGGGTCAATTCTCCACACAGCGGCGCAAGGTCAGGACCAAGGCCATTCGAGGCGGACCATCTCCATTATTAATGAGCTGGGGGGCGATAGGGGGGGAGTTAAATAAATAAATACGAAACTAACTGAACAAACGAATACGTTCGTTGGCAGATACGCTGGCGAACGAATACAACAACACGGTGTGTGGATGCATAACAGACGGCGACAAATCGTGACCCCGTCTCAGTCGCGGTGCAGACAGAGAGAGAGAGAGAAAGCGGTGAGCGTGATTGTGTTACAGTGAGAGAGAGAGGGGAGAGATGGAGAGAGAGAGAGGGGTGGGAGAGGAGGCTTGTATGTCTGGGCTTGAACCAGGGAGCAGGGAGTCGACAGCACGGACCGCGATGGGTGGGGGGTGGAGAGGAAGCTCCACACTAACCTGAGTTTGATTCCCGATCACGGTCAACTTCAGTGGGCGGGTGATGTCTGAATTGGTATCGCGCCCACCCCCCTACCTCCCTTCAATTATTCGCAATGACCATCGTGGTGAAGTATGGTCAACCCCCCCCCCCACCCCCGCATTGTAACTCTGCGTGTGTACCCAGGAGGGTCCTGAACGACGTCATTTGCAGGTAATGTCTCAGCATTGGGATGCGGTTTGGCCAATCGCGGTTACACTGCGCGTGTTTGTGTTTTTAGCTTTGGGAGGAAACTGGAGAAGTCAGAGGAAACCCATGCGGAACAAGAGGAGAACACACAAACTCCACACGCTCACTCACATGCTAACAGAGACAAATATTACCAGTATAGCCTTTACAGACTGTTGGGGCAAGTGCTGTTTTGCGAGCACCTATGCAGATCGGCATGGCACACGCCTTTGTCTCACGAGTGGCGATGTTTATACATTGCACCAGCTACTAATCTGAGGTTGAGTCGACCTAGGGGAGGCCTATGACAGGTTCAGATAATCATCACCGGCGTTGGCCGTGAGCAGGAATCGAACCCGGGTAGCCGAATTCGTAGCGGGTGGCCGAGTTCGTAGCGCAGCGTAGCACTAACCGCTACGCCACCGCTCCCCGCAGTCACACACAAATACAAAGGTCCCCCATATAGCCTTAACAGACTGTAGGGGCAAGTGCTGTTAGCGAGCACCTATGAAGGCCGGAACGGTACACGAGGGGGTGGGTGGCCAGCACCACGCCCGACCGCCTTTGTCTCATTTGAGGCTGAGTCGACCTAGGGGAGGCCCGGGACCGGTTCAGATAATCGTCACTGGTGTTGGCCATGAGCGGGAATCGAACCCGGGTCCCCAGGTTCATAGCGCAGCGCGCTAACCGCTACACTATCGCAGTCACACACACACAGTCTTACACACACACACTCACACTCTGCAGAACCAGGGAGTTGGGGTGGGGGACATACAAATTTCCCACATAAAAAAGGATGCCCCGAGTCGGGAATAGAACCCAGGTGCTTCTCGCTGTGGAGCACGAGTGTGACTAACTAGGCTGCCTCCACCCTGGTGCCCATCCTACCCCCCGGGTCCATCCGTCGTCTGTCCCTCGCCTACGCTGCTCCACCTCGGGCGTCCCTGGGTCGACGCGTGGCCTCCTCACCCTTGGAAACGAGATAGTCCACCTCTCGGAGCAATTCCAGGTGACGTATTTTAATGTATAAACCTCGAATTAAGTACCCAGCTGATATGGGCCAAACCAATCTTAGGCATGTACACACCTCAACACCGTGCTGCAGTACCCCCGCACCCCCGCAGCTACGTACATCGTAGGTGGGAGAGGAGAGGGAGGGAAAGAGGAGGAGAGATGGAGATGAGGAGGGGAGGGGGGAAGAAGGGGCCCTGTCAGCTGCTGTCAGCCGCAACGAGAGGCGCCGCGCGGTGACCTCAACCCTCGATCCCTGCATGGGGGGAGGTGCGGGGGGGGGTTAAGAGGGGAGGGGGTGGGGGCACGAGGCGGGGGGGAACGTTGGAGGGCGCAGGGGGGTACCGTCTGGGTAGTGGCGGTGGCGGTGGCTGTAGGTGTTGTTGTAGTGGCGGTTGTTATAGCAGTGTTAATGGTGGTGGTAACTGTGGTTGGTGACTTGTGTTGGTGGTTGATGGTGGAAGTTGTGATTGTTGCGACTGTAGTGTTGGCCGTAGTGGTTGGTGATCGTGTTGGCTGTGGTGGTGGTGTTGGCCGTGGTGGTTGTTGTAGTAGTGGACATAGTGTTGGCTGTGATGGTGGTGGTATTAGTAGTGTTGGCTGTTGTAGTGGTTGTGGTGACTAGGGGTAGAGGCCACGCCACCGAAGCCGGTTCAAGCCGGTTTGCCGAGTACCCTGGCCTCCATCTCTCCACGGCCCCCCCCCCACTCACCCCCTCCCTCACCCCACTCCACGGCCCCCCCACTCACCCCCTCCCTCACCCCACTCCACTGCGACCCGAGCCAAAACGCGCCTCCCCAAACCCTCCTCTCCTCCCGTCTCTGCTTCCCGCGACTGCTTCCACGTCGACCCTGGCTCTGACCTTAACCCCTGGTCCAGAGTCTGGCCCTAATCTTAACCCTGACCGTAACCCTAGTCCTAAGTCTGACACCGATCCTTAAGCCTCACCCCTTAATCCTATTCCTCTCCTAAAGAGCACAACTTCC